CATACTTATCAATCTTCTATTTTGTTCTAAATATATATGTGTATGTATACACAAATGTGTATATATTTTTATATGGGAAACTATGTAGTTTACTCTTGTGTGCCTGACTCATTTCATTTAGCAGTATGACCTCAATTTGCATCCATTTCCCCACTAATACCATAAGTTTATCTTTATTTATGGCAAGGTAGTACTGCACAGTGAACAAATATCACATTTTCTTTATCCACTCATCTGTTTTTTGTTTTTTTTCCAGTACCAGGAATCAAACTCAGGACCTTGTGCTTACCAGGAAAACATGAATTCCACTGAGCTATCTCCCTGGCCCTATCCATTCATCAGTTCATGAACATGTACACTGCTTCCAATAACTAGTTACAATAAATTGTGCTGCTATAAACATGAATATTCATATATTCCTACAATACAATGATTTCAACTATTTTAGTAAGATACCGAGAAGGGGGATAGCAGGATCAAGCTTTATTTATATTTTTAGGACTGATTTCCTTAGGACTGTAAGTTTTTTTATTTTATTTATTTATTGGTGGCATCAGGGATAAAACTCTGGACCTTGCACTTGCCAGGCAAGCTCTTATTCCACTGAGCTATCTCCCTGGCCTTATTTTTCACTGTTTGAGGAATCACCACATTGATTTCCATAGTGTTGTATTAGTTTACATTCCACTAACAACAGAGAAGTCGGCCCCCCCAACACACATATCTCTGCCAGCATTTGTTATTATTTGATTTTTTGATGATACTTAAATTTTGGGGATAAGATGTTATCTCAGTGTAGTTTTAATTTCATTTTTTTGAATTTTTTCATATTTTTAGGGAAGGGTTTACAGAGTGTTCAGTGTCTCACTACTAGATCATACTCATAGTGATCCACCTGTTTACAGCCTCACAAGAGCTGGGATTACAGGTGCATTCCACCACACCCAGTCTCAATTGCTATCTCAGGATGCCCCAGGGGTGGGGCCAGCATGGCAGGCCCAGGGATTGAACCCCCGGCTCCTGCACCTGCTTACAGGTGCTTTAATCTGCTGAGCTATTTGGCCCGCTGGCTTAATTTGCAGTTCTTTAATGACCAGTAATACAGAAGATTTCTTCATGTGTTTATTGGCCATTTGTACTTCTTCCAAAATGTGTCTCATTTCACATGCCTGCTTTTTGATTGGATTCTTTATTTGAGGTGGTCAAATTTTTCATCAAATTTTGATCACTTTTCCTCTCTCCAATGAATAGCTACACTGACTTTTTATTTTTCCATTCTGTAGGTTGTCTCTTCACTGTGCTGTATGTGTCTTTTACTGTGACAGAGCTTTTTAATTTAGCATGATCACATTTGTTGATTATCAGCATTATTTCTTACTTCACTAGGGTTCTTTTCAGAAAGTTCTTGCCTGTGTCTCCAAGTGTTTTACTTATTTTTTTCTTCATTCTTCAATTAGATTAAACGTTTGCATTTGGACATTTATATATTTGATCCATTTTGATTTAAGTTTAGTATATAGTGAGATATATGGGTCTAGACTCATCCTTCTCCATGTGGGTAACCAATTTTCTCAGCACTATTTAATAAAGAGTATAATCTTTCCCTCCAAATCATATGCATTGTCCTCTTGCCCAAGATGAAATGATTGAATGTTTCTGAGATTTTTTTACTTTCTCTAATCTGATCTATTTAAGTAATATTTTAACAAACTGGGAGGGGACGAGAAGATGTCTCAGTGGAAAAAGTGCTTCCCTGGCAAGCGCAAGGGCCTGAGTTCAATCCTGAGTTCTGAAAGAAAAAAAAAAAAAAAAACCAGCCTAGAGTTATGGGCATGACTTGAACATAGAACTGTCTTTTCAATGCAACTTACTATTGCAGTAGTATTGTTGATTATTGATAAAATTTATTTTATTCTTCAAAAAATTAAAGGGTAAGGAAAATTATATCTAATTCTCACTACAATAAAATAATATATTTTATTTCTGACTAAATTATAATTGATTCAAAATACACAAGTTATAACAGGGAACAAATGTTACTCTGTATGCCTTTAAGTACTTAAGCATCAAATTCTAATATTAGCATTCCCTACCTTAAAATTTAATTTACAGATTTTAAAGTAATTTAAATCATTCAATACTGAAGTTGGGCACAAAGTTGTACTATTATTTGAATACCTCATTTAAGCCATTCTAAAAATGTTATATGATATCTTACCCTGTTTGATATGAAGCACTGGAAACAAATAAAAGCTACCTACATTATATCACATAATACTGAGAACATTGCTTATAGTTACGCATAGATAAATACACAACAATGTAATGTTATCTCAACATTCTTTAAGAAAACGATCCAAGCACAGAGCTTATACAAAACATTCCAAAATGCTTATAAATGTGTTGACTTTCTACGATGCCTTGTTATCAACAGATTTGCTTTCGTGGAGAAACTGGTTTTAGCCAATTCTGATTTGAATTTTTTATCTATACTATCTTTTTATGACCGGCTCAGCCCACCCTGGGGGCAGGGCTGGAGTGGCATGTGCTGGGGATTGAACTGCAGTCCCTGCACTTTGCCTAAGCTTGCCTAAGCAGGTGCTTTACACCGCTGAGCCATCTTGCCAGGCTGTTGCTTTAGACTGCTGAACAATCTCGCCAACCATATAGTATTTGTATTCTAAATGTTATGCTGAAATAGTTTGCATTGTTTTATTGCAGTCACAACATATTGCCAAAAACAGTGGCTTCTAGTAGCATAAATTATTATATTAAAGTCATGGAGATTAAATGTTCAACAGATATCTCTTGATTAAGATCAAGATGTTGGTAGAAACTATGCTCCTTTCTGAAAAATCCTTTTAATTGCTTTTTAAAATTATTAGAGGACAGCTATATCCTTTGGTTGGTTGTTTTCATCTCTCTTCAATGGCAGCAAAGAATCTTATCTGTCTATTATCACATCTCCCTCTGACCAAAGTTAGGAAGCATTTTCTATTTTTCACCCCTCAGGGTCACATTTGGACCATCTGGAAAAGCCAAGACAGTATCCCCATTATCAAGACCCTTACTAGTAACCACATTACAAAATAAACTCTTGAACTACAAGTTAATGGATTCGGAGCCATTATTCTCTCTGTTATGAGGCTATTTCATGAGTATTAGCTTCAGATATTAACTGCCCGTTAAGAAAGATGAAGACTCTAAACAATGCCATACCTCCACTACTCACCAACATTTAGATATTTATATTGTAGATCTTCAGTTAGCCACATGATAATTTTAAGCAATATGTATCTCTAGTTCTTTTTCTGTCAACTTTACATACTACTTTATCCACTAAGAAACTTCCATTTGTCTTTCTTCCTTTTGTTTTTGTTTTTGTTTTGGCAGAACTGGGGATTGAACTCAGGCCCTTGCGCTTGCTGGGAAGCACTTATTCCACTGAGCAATCTGCCCAACCCCTCTTTCTTCCATTTTGACACTATTCTATCCATTTAACTTTCACATATATATTACACACTTATCATTTTATATATGACATGCTACATATAAGTACTTTTAATTATACTTCATAAACAAGGAAGTTTTCTCTGTATTATATGTCTTCTATGACTGTAAATATCATAGGAAATAAAAGAAATACACGTAAGTCACATGTTCATCTTCATGGAATCAATGTTGCTCCTTTGCTGCACAAAACGGAAGGGGTGCTATTTTCTGACTTTTTTCCTAACACAAATTGAAGAAAATATTAATTTTGTAAAATAATCTCAAATTTATGAAGGTTTTTTTTGGGGGGAACCGGGCATTGAACTCAGGCCCTTGTGCTTACCAGGGAAGCACTTATTCTACTGAGCCATCTCCCCAGCCCCATTATGAAGATATTTTTGATATGTGAAATTTAGTTCCCTAAAATTTTGGTTATAGCCCTGCAGAAGTCTTACTGACATTTTATTCTCAAAAAAATCCCTTATCTTCAAAAGACGTCTTTCACTGCCCTGTAACTGCAAATTCAAGGGTATTCTACATTTTATAGATTCAATATTATGTATTTTCCATAACAATTTTTTTTAACATTTTAAGAGGTTCAAAACCAGCAGAAATAGCTTATAAGAAACAATTTCCAGCCACTGAAACCACCCAGCATTGGAGAGGCTGACATAGGAGGATCACTACGAGTCTAAGCTGCACTGTGAGACCCTGTACCAAATACATAAATTTTAAAAAATGATTAAGAAACATGAAAGGAGCAGTGTAAATACAAATTCCTGTAATGTATATTTCATCTTCTTTCTTATCCATGCATCTACTTTGCCTTCTAGACAGAGCCCAAAAAAGAAGATACTCAGTTTTAATGGTATATATTAATATAAAAGTACATTTATTACATACCTGGATTTTTGTACTTTTTTTGTACAAGATATTGAGCTCAGGACCTCATGTCTGCAAGGCAAGCACTCTGCCACTTAGCTGAATCCCTGGCTGAACATTTTATAATTGCCTCTTGCTGAATTTTCATATATATATATATATATATATATATATATATATGTCTCATATTAATTTAAATCTGAGCATTCACATTTATAAAGAGAGTGTTTAATTATATTGAAATATTTGAGTATTATTGTATAATCTACATATTGGAACATATGAGATAAATAGTATTCTGTGTCTGTAGATTTTAAAAACTGAGTAATTTTACTTATAAGTAATACATATTTACACATGCATTCACATGTTATACATATACACACAGATACATATACATAAAAGTTCTCTAAAATTATCAACATTCTTGCTACCAATAAGGTAAATATTTGGAGAATAGTCATAGTCATATACCATAGAATAGTCATTCACATCATTCATTTTTCAATAATCAATTTACTCAAACAAAACCACAGTTACAAAAGGAATTTTAAATTGTATCAATCAATTTACTCAAAACCACAGTTACAAAGGAATTTTAAATTATATCAATTTTCTATACATACCTCAAATTTTATGATCGTATCATTTTCTTGCAATTCAAATAAAGGAACATTAAATACAAATGTAGTCTTGGACAATCTCAATGGCGCGTGTAACACTTTGAAAGAAAAGTAAAACAATTATAATGAAAAAAATATTAATAGTTACAACCTCATAGAAACTTCTTAGTATCATTTTCAGAATGAAATAAGAAAATCAAATATTTTCTTGTTTGTATATTTCCAGGCAGATAATAAAATTATACTTTTAAATATATCTAAAATGGTTTGGTTTTCATAAAAACAAAATTTCATTTTGTGATTTTATCTTTTTTTGTACTTTTCATGGAGGTGTCTCTGGGCTGTTCAGGGTCTCACAATTAAATCAGACTCACAGTAATCCACCTGTTTACAGCCTCCCAAGAGCTGGGATTATAGGCACATGCCACCATTCCCATTCTATGTGATTATAATTTTAATAAATTACAAATAAAATGTGAAAGTCATTATTGAAGATAATAAAATATAAAAAATTTAATATCAAACTAAGACAAAATAAGTAGAATTAAATTTAACTTGCATTCTAAATTTGAAATAATGCAAAAACCAGGAATGAACAAGGAAAATTATTGCAAAGCAGGGAAACTATAAATTGTATATTCCATACTATTTTCTAGATGAAACAAGGAATTTTTTAGAGAATATGGCTATTCAGTGGAAAAAGAGGAATAGGTATATCTATAAAAATGCCTAATCTATTAATGAGGTTATCAATATTTTCGAGACAAACATACATATTTGTGAAACATTTCTGAGACACCAGAATTTTTAATGGAGGTGAAAATAAGCATAATGAACTAAACAATTGATGATTCTAAAATTCCATGTACTTTGCATAAGCTTTTATTATATAACTGGAATTAAAGGTCATTTTGGCATGAGATTAGCATCTCTGGGACATTATCTATAAGTCTGAGACCTATAGATAATATTCATGATATGTTATACCTACAACCTATAATAAGAAACCTTGGAAAAGAACGTGTGGAAGATATTTAGAGTAGGGCCTATAAATGTCCTCCTTGTTTGGAAATTAGCAATAGGAGATAAGCAAAAAATGATAACATGTTGGTTATGCCTTAAAATTACAGCATTGTTTTTTGAATATTATTTCACTATTTTGAGAACTTTAAACAAATAAAAGTTATTCTCTTAGTAGGATGTTTGAGATCATTATATGGAGGAACTGAAACACCAGAAGCTCAAAACTTTACAACAAATATTTCAAATTAGCCCGCTCCCTCATATTGAAATATGCATTGGTATCCTGTTCCTCAGAAGATAATATAATGTTTGATATTGAAGCTGTATTTTGAGAATCTCTAATAAGCATGAATGAATACACAAGAGGCAATAGAAATTTAAGTAATGGCTCAAAATCACAGAGTTGTAAAAGAAAATTAATTCAAACAAAATAGAGGCAATGTTGCCAATAGAAGATGTCAAAGAAATCAATATGTAGTTAGAGAAATTATTTTTTTCACAAGAGCAAAAGGTCATAAAGTAAAGGAATATTAAAAATGATTAAGAACCTTCAAAAAATTTAAATGGCAGGAAACTAGAACTTTATACACTTACCAAAATTCTAGATTGGAAAGACATTCTCATTTGTAAAGCAAGGCTATAACTCACCAATGGAAAGATAGGTTTTATCATAAAATAAATTTAAATGGTCCATTGAGAAATGAATTATTTCAGAAAACAAAGTCAAATAGCAATTATTTTCACTTTATGTCATGGAGGGGCACAAAGGTACATCAACATTCCCATTTTTAGAAAATTTTGAGATAGGATCTTGCTAAGTAGCCCAGGCTGAGTTTGCCATTGCAAAATTCCTGCCTTGGCCTCCCACAGAACTGGGATGACAGGTATGTCTGAATATATATTAAAATAAAATAAAAAAGAAATTTAAATTCATGGTTACAAAGGCTGGCCAAATAGCTCAGTGGATTAAAGTGCCTGCAAGCAGTAGGAAGGGCTGGGGGTTTGATCCCTGGGCCTATCATGTAGGATCCACCCCATGGTACACTGAGATGGCAATTGAGACTGGGCGAAGTGGTGTGTGTCTATAATCTCAGCTCTTGGGAGGCTGCAAACAGGTGGATCACTGAGTCTGACCTAGTGGTGAGACCCTGAACACCCTGTAGACCCTTCCCCCCCCAAAAAAAAAACTTTAAAAATAATTTTAAAAAAGGATTAAATTAATGGTTACATCCCAGCTATACTATTCTTAATTCTGAATTTAGATGAGTGAAATAAATTGTATAACTTCATGTTACTTTAAGAAGACTTCTCATAGTAGCTGTAATGCATAATTACTGATATGATATTCATCACTGCTTTATAATTAATGAAAACTTAATTTCAGAACTACTAACATAAAAATGCCTTGCCTTTTCAAGGAAAAATATTGTAGTGTATATGACAAAAGGGCAAAGCAAATCTTTTTAAAACTATGATTTACAGAACACATCAGTTTTATACTGAATGTCTGGGGAAAGTAGATAAATATTCAATAAAAAACTATAATTTCAAGTATAGTTAATCTTTATATGCATGTAAGGATTCAGTAATCCTTCCCTATGGGACAAAACATTTTCATATAATTGTCATTGATGTATTTCATTTTTGACTTGTTCTATTTAAATCAATCATATTTTGTCATAATTTTAAATTATCATACAATAAAGTGCTAAATTGATCTGTTTTTATTCTTTCATATTTTCCTCTGAAAATATATCTGTTCTATTAATCAACATTCAATCTGAACAATTCTAGTCACAAAGAAAACATACTAAAATTTCACTGTATATCATTTCCAATCATGAAAAGTGTCATATTCTTATTTTCTTAAAATTGAGATGCCTATTTCATATTATATACCAGTAGCTTGAACAAAACAAGGCTGGATAAGTGGAACCATCTTTGGCACCAAAGGCTTTTTCATGGATATATACTCAGTATAGATTTCTGAAGATCTGAAGGAATTAATATAAACTTGAATGTTGAATTCATATGCTCTTACCTGAGAGACAAAAAATACATTTTATTTGAGTTATTTTGCTTTGAGAAAAGGTGATATTATTCATTTAATAAAACAGCAATTTATAAAAACTTTCAATGTGAAATCATTTTGTGACATTGAAACTATACTTTAAAAAAATTGATTTTAATGTGTTCAAATATAATTCTAAAAAAATGAAACATACAGAAATTTGGGGAATAATTCTAAAACTCACAAAATGAAAGAACAAACCAGGTATGGTGCTGCATGTTTGTAATTCAGTAATTAGGAGACTGAGGCAGGAGGACTGCCACAAGTGGGAGGTCAGCCTGAGTCACATAGTGAGTTCAAAGCCAGCCTAAACTGCATAGTGTGATCTTGTACCAAAGAAACAAACAAACAACAAAAAAACTTAACAAAAGCAAAGAGTGAAAGCAACTGTCTAAATACAAAACTTACAGACACAAAACATTTGAATGCAAAGTTTGGAGAAATGTATGTGTATTCCTCAATAAAGAGGTTTGGCAAAGATTTTCTTCTTTGGGGTTGGAGATGGTGGTATTGAAAAGTGAACCCAAAACCACATACAAACCCATCACACATTCTACCACTGAGCTATACCATAAACCTCTGACAAATATTTCTTAAATACAAAATAAAAAGAATCATCCAGTGAAAATGATTCATTCATACACAATAAAATTAAAAATATCTGTTGTTAATGACATAATTTTACAAATAACATATAAGGCAAAACCTTTTCTAACAAAAAAGCCAACTTGTTTTTGCAAAATGCAAAAACTCAATGATCAATAAATGAAAAAGTATTAGGTAATGAAAATATATATAAGATTTGAAAAGATATTTCATAAAAATATTTATACATGAGACATTAGCAATGCAATAACATTTAACACCATTACCTATAAAACAAACGAAAACTGAAAGTAAAAAAAAAAACTTCACATCTATCATAGTTGCTTAAACACAAGTAATACTACTAAATGTTGATAAAAATGTGAACAACTAGACAAGTATATATTACTGGAAGGAATTAAAACAATTTTCAATAACTTGAGAAAGCAGTGTGCCAGGATTCCCATGGTCACAGGATGTTTTCCCTTTTATTTAGCTTCCTTCATTTATGTTTTACAGTTTTTAATGTATAAGAATTTCATCTTCTTGGTTAAGGTTACTCCCATGCATTTTATTCTTTTATTGTACATTGGATTATTTTTAAATTTTAAATGTGTCTTTGTTGGTAAACAGAAATAAAGCTGATTTTTAAATGTTGGTTTTGTATTCTGTAACATTACTGATTTTATTCAGTATTTCTAATGGTTATGTGAGTGTCTATGTGTATATGTGGCTTCTTTAGGGGTTTTGGCATTCATCATTTCTTCTCCATATAATACTTTGTACCTGTTCTATGCCAGAAGAATTAGGCAAGAAAAAATATCAATAGAAACTAAACCAGAAAGCAAAATGATAAGTTTTGTGTGTTTTTAGGTGAAATGATGTTGTATGTAGAGTGATATAGTCCATGTAACCTATGTAAATGCAAACACAGAGAAGAATTTAAATATTTTAAATGTGGGTAGTTAAAAACAATTAATATTCTCCCATACCAAAAGCCTCCAAGTTTGTGATAGTCATAGTGCTTTTAGAGGTATGTCTATATTTAGTGTTGTGCTCTAATCATAAAACCCAGGTTGACAATCAGAAAATCTTTAAATAAAATGAAGGACTGAATAATATAAAGGATAAATTTTCAGGTTCAGTAGGTTGTATTGCCATGCTCTGCAAAATATTTGCATTTTTTATTTAAGATATCATTTGCCACACTACTGCTAATTCCATCTACTGCCTGACAATGTTACGTAGTCTTTCTTCATAGCAGAATTATAGGAGTATAAAATACTGCAGCATGTGTTATTTTAATAATCTTTTTATTTCTTTGAGCAACAGAGCAAGCAGCTCATTCCCATGATAATGTATTTTGGCACAGGCACCAACAAACAAACATCAAGGAAAAAATTGTATATAGCATTTCATCTGCAAATACAATTTGTTTTGATAGTTTATATGGTAAGGAAGAGACCACATGTTGCTTACTTTTGTATTTTCTGTAATTTCTTAATATTTAGTATTCAATAACTAATTATATTTTGTATCTCTTTTTTTTTCTCCTAAATCCTATGTACATTTTAATTTTCATTGATATAAATTACATTTTCTACTATAAAATTTAACATTACGTACAATTGTTTCTCACCATCTATGTGGCACTGATACTCCAGTGCATCTCATACCCTCTTTCACTGTCATAGGTACATACTCAGAGAATGGATGCTGAATTCCTTACATAAATAATATAGCATTTATACACAACCTGCACATACTCTCTCATATAATCTTAATTATGAACCTCCTTATATGCATATAGAAGTCTTTCAGAAATTTAAATGAGTAGAGTGCACATGTTAAAGTACGACTGTTCTCAGTAAAAAGAAAAGCAAACTCACACAAAACAAAATTTAAAGAAGTGCTTTTAGAAAAGACAAGTTAGAAAGGTAAATCCAGGAAAAAAAGCTTCCTGAAAGCATCAATTTTAGACATACACCAAGACGAATAAAAAAAGGCTATATAAAAAAGAATTCTTGTAATAGGCATGATTATTCTAAGAAGATAACATGAACTATTACAAGAAAAATCACAAAAGGATTCTGCAAGTGTAGAGCTTCTAGAGAGTATAGGTAGAGAGAAGGAAAGCCAAATGTGAGTGGAATCAGAGGGATGATAATCTGTTCACAGAGATGTTCCACTTTGGGGAAATGACTGAAGTAAAGAATGATATTAGTCATGACACCTGGATTCCTGACTATTATTGGTATTGCATCTTGACCTTTGGGTCTAGTGCTGTGACCCCAAGTCAAGGATGATAGGAGTGCAAAACTAGAGTTATGAGAGATATTTAATGTAGGGTAAGAACTTTAAGTTTCATTTAAGAATGTGGAATGTGGAATGCTGCTGACAATGGAGGTGGCAATTCTCAAGGTGAATCAATTCTTAACTGTCACTCATTTTTGAAGCCATTTTCTTTCCAGCAAATACAAATTCTCTAAAATTCATGTGCTAAATTGACAGGAGGAATTTGTATGAGTGGAGACTGAATACTGGGCCTTCATACTGAGCCACCTTCTCTGCTTTTTCAATTATACTATTTTTATTTTGAGGACATTCTTGCTTAGTTGCTAAACTGCCTAGGTTGCACTATAATTTTCTGTCCCCCTGCTTCAGCATTCCAGAGTTCTTTGACAATATTGTGCCACCACAGCTAGCTAAACGGTTGAAGTCGATTTACCAATTGTACGTTTGTGCAAAATCATACAGGACTTGCCATTACTTAGCAGACTTTTTCACACACAGTTTGTATAAAAAGGGTTTCCCCCATTAAAGTAGTTCAATAATGACACAGAATGGAAAATTCTTTTACTTCTTCCCTTAAAGTTTTATTCCCTGAACAAAACTAAAAATATAATGAGTTTCTCTTATACCGATCCCAACTGATTTATAGAGAGCAAAGTTTGGTCTTATCATTAAAAAACGACTGAGCTATCACAAGAAGAAGAAAAACTTTGAAAACTTTTTATGTACCCTTCTAAGTGATTTCTCAGGTGGAAGACAGACATCATATTTAAAACAAATATTCTAATAAACTAAGAATTTTAGTCTTCAGGCCACTTGGTGGACAGAAATCCTTATGAATCAAAACTGAGCAGCTATCATTCAAATACTCTTTCTTTTAATCTTTAAGACACTATTTTTACCTCACTGTAAGAATGGTTTTAAATTCAAAATAAACAGAATAAATGACTACCCAAAGGCTTGCATAACATTAAAGGGCAGGCAAGGTTCAGTGGAGAAGGGTAAAAACACTATATTTAAGAAGTACGAGGAAAATAGAAATCAGTAGAAATGAGACTTACAGAAAACTTCAGAGTAATTGAATCACTGAAACTTAATCAGCCTATGGAACAGGGAAGAATCTTGCATATGGCAGGAGGAAAGGCAAAGTTAATAAACAGGAAATAGCTATGCCAGTGATGTTCAATGAGACTTTCTGAAGTGAGGGACATAGTCTACACAGATATGAAATTTAAGAATGTAAAATGTGAAAATTGTAAGAGGACACTAAGTTTCATGTCAATTATTTTTAATTAGCTTAAGCTTTAAATAGACACATCTAGCTAATATCAACTATATAAGGAAGAACAACTGTATATACTGGACAAGAAGATATAAGTGGTCCATAAGGAAAGGAGGAACATGAGTGAATTAAACAAGCTGTTTTAGTTAAGCATATGAAATACAACTATAATTAGCCAACAACACTTTTGATCATGTTCAAACTTGGTACAGTGAAGACAGGAAGAGGTACAGCTAGAAATAAGTCAAACATGTACTGACTATTTCATGTTTTACTACCTCATAAGTCAACCAAGCAAGCATCCACTGGCCTTTTACACATACACACACACACACACACACACACACACACACACACACACAAAGACAGATAACTTAGACATCACAATAAATTTAGTGAAGAGCATTTAAAACAACTGGAACTCAGATAATCAATCTTGCCTTTTGGTCTTGCTGGAACAAATTTATGAAGCAAGTTCTCATAGGTTATGCTGTCTCTGTAGGATTCTGTGAATTGCTCTAGTTGGACCAAATTATATTCTGATACTTGGAGTAAACATTCCTTTAAAAACCCCACTCAAACAAACAAAGATTTATTTAAAATTTGAGAAACTTATCACATTTCTCATAATTATAAATATATATAGTTTAATTTTATAATCAGTTTCTATAA